TTGGTGCATCTGGGACTAAGCTGTCGTCCCATGCCTGGCTCCTGTCATACTCCTTTGGCTTGGATTGCCCGATCAGCAAGATGACAACTTCGGCGTTGACGAGCTTCTCGCGCAAAGTTGACTTAGGAGGGCATTGTCGCTTGATGGGGTGCTCAAACTTCGACTGGAAAGACTTCATGACCTTACCATGCACGCCGCACAAGCACATGCCTGCCTCCGCGCAGTCGGTCAAGGTGCCATGGCCAGCCTCTGCGAAGATCGGGATGCTCTTGAAATCGATCGCCTGGTGCAGTTGGGCCCACGTGTCCAGCAACGCCCTGGCCAATCGCGCAGGAGCCCCCCGCATCGGCAATGAAAGAGCGCGCTGTACCCTCAGCGACAGATCCCCCGAACTCCAGCGAAGGATGCCAACCGCAGCATCTGCATGAGAAACGGACGCAAAATCAGCGGCGCGCAAGCCGATCTCGGGCGCAAGCAGAGACAAATGCTTGACCGTATCAGCGCCACTCCTGATGCGTGCCACTCGGTCTTCGTCGTCTCTGCGATCTGCGAGTCTCCGAGCATCCGATGCCAGCCTCAAGTTTGACCTCAATTGAATCAAGTAGTCCAAAGACCGCTGATTTGGTAGCTCATGAGGGCCGCCATCAAGACGGGGCGGCACGTGAGTGAAAGCAACGAGCTCTGAACCGACAACGTCAGGTATGCTACCACCGTGACGCTTTGCATGCGCCAGCCTCTGTACTGCAAGGTCTCGATCCCTCTTCTCTTGCTTCCGCCGCTCGCCCCGAGGTTTCTCACCGAAGGTGGAGCTGTGCCCAGCCGCTCGACGGGCAGTTCCTTCCCTGCCAAGCTCAGTGAGACGACGCCGTTCCTCGTCGCCAAGCGCACGGCACTGCTCAGACAATTGCGCAATATTCCCGAACTCGCGGGTGCCAACCGTCTGCTCCCGAATGAATAACCTCCAAGCTCCGCCATAGCAAGCGCGGCGCTTCTTGGTCGGCTTCACCTGCTCGTCCGACGATCGAGCAGGAACTGTGCTGGATGTGTCTGCGCAGTCTCGGTGTTGCCGCTTGTACTCTGCAAACAACTGCCGAAACTCCTTGCAAGTCCTCCTCGCCGACATGTGAGCGAACAAAACAGCGTGAGTCTGAACAGAATGTTGCTGCAAAACTCTCCGGATCGCAGCGTGCTTGGCCTCGACGCGAATCGTCTCCCTCTGCAGCAGCTCCGCGCTGGCGGAAATCTCGGCCAAGCAAGATGGGGTCAGCAGCCCAAGCTCTGACTCCGAATACGTATCCACGATCGCTGCGCTCCAGGGGTCCATCATGCGCTTGCAATCCGACGCTACCTCGGCGAGCACGCCAGCGCGCCGATCAGGGCGCAACAGTAAGAACAATTTCCAAGGATACTGGCGGTGAGCAACACTGAGCCCATGATTCTCACAACCCAACATGGAGAGCATCGCAAAAGCACGCGCCCGATAAGAATAGGTTCTGCACGGCGCTGGCATGATATGCCACTGGGCAGGGTTCACCATCAAGTCTGCGATCTCATCGAAACACTGCCGCTCGAACTTGTTCTCCGCCGCCAGCAGTGCGTGACGCCCGTCAGCCGAGTCAACTCCAGGAACGCCGAAAAGCTTTCTCCGCTCCTCGACCTTGTCCTGAAGTTCCGAACCAGCACGCAAGTAGTTATCCATGATATTCGTCAGAGGCGCAATCACCTTCGATATCATGATGAAAGTACCGAGGGCGTAGCCATCATTATCCCGCAACCACTTGCCGCCGAGATAGCGGTGCTTCGACTGATCCTTCCTCTTGGCATCACTCGGGTCGGCGCCTGCAGCTGCGCCCAGGTCGGGCTGGCCATCGCGCCCGTCACCGCCGCCGCCACAGGCGGCAGGAACGGCATCGTCGTCCGACTCGTCGCCACGAAACTTGGGATGACCAGCCGACGAAGGAGATGGAGCAGTACCAGACCACTGAAGAAACGCAGTGGTGAGCAAGCCGTGAACACTCTCCATGAGCCCCAGCCACGACACCGACTCGTCTGCGCCAACCCACCGCTTCAACGGCCAAGGCTTAGGAGCGCAAGAAGCCAAAGCACTAGCAAACATACCTGATATTGTTCTCCTGCAGTCAGCCTCACTCTTGCAGCAACCGTTGCAATAATGTGTGGTGCGGCTCCTGTCGCTCCAATCGCCGTTGGCAAACGTCAACAGCAAGACTCGCCCTAGCAGGTGGGTTGGAGACTTCCGCGCCAAAAAAACGTCGAGGAGGTTGATGTTGCGACGCACTTGTGCGGGTTGAGGGCGAACGTTGGGCACGTAGTGCAGCATGCCGTCGATGGTGCGTCGCAGAACCTTGCGGAACGACCTCATGGCATCACCACCGTTCAAAGCATTTGCGATGTGTCGCATGCGATTCACCACGTGGCCTATCTGGTCAAACACATCCTCACGCCAGTGGTACACGCGATGGACTTCGCACTTGGTCTTGAGAACCACCCATCTTCTGTCATTGGCCGCCACTGCGCGCTCTGCCCTGTCGACGGCAGCGTCGGCGTCTGTGCAGACGCACCGTTGCCGACGCCGAAATGCAGACAGAACGTCATCTGGGAGTTCAGCAGCAACGTCACTTGCAGCCAATGCTTGAAAGTAGTTCTCGCCCTTGCCTTCGGATATACACTGGAGCCAACATGGAATCGGACATCGGACGAGCAAGAACTGCCCATTGGCAAGTTGGAGCAACACATTCTCTGACCTGAGTGTCTGAACGATCTTGGCCACGTGGGAAGAGACACACGATGTGATTATTGTGCTGACAGGATCATGGTCTGCGACCTCCAGCTGAAGATCTCCAGCGGCGGGTCCTGGCTTCTCTGGGTCGACACATCTGGTTCTCATTGGAGTTTCGTCGTACCTGAGCTCACTGTAATAGCAGATCGCCGCGCCTCCAGATGCAACGACGCCTCGGACCAATCCAGTCACCATCCGAACAAAATCCCGCCGATGCATCAATACACTCGAGGACGCCGTGCAGTGGAGGAGCGCCTGGGCAGCTCGGAGGTCGAGGCCGAGCGATTCAGCCTCGGCACAAAAGCCAGCCTGGCGATGTGAACTGGCCTGGGCGTAGTGCTGCAGTGCCAGGACGCGCTTCGGGTCGGGATGCAGCTGGCCCGCATGGGCCTCGGATAAGGCAACGTCAAACAATGCGTTTGTTGAAGGGGAGGTTCCAGGCCCTGAAACCTTCCTATCAACAAACCCCCACGGATATTGCCCAGGCAATGGTTTCGAGAGCTCACGTAGGCCCAACAGGGCCGCGAAGCTAGACCCACATGAGGTCCAAGGAATTTCGGGGAGGAATGGGCACGACAAGCAACATTTAGAGACGCAGCCTGAACGATGGCAGCCATCATCTCGAGGGATCCCGCCAAGGCGTGGCACTCGGGCTCTGGCGGTGGCACACCAGGCTCGACAGCGACGACCGCCTCAGCGAGGTCGTCCTCGCCCTCGGCGCCCTCGTCGCGGACACCCAGGTCCTCCAGAGCTACAAGCTCTGGCACGGCAGGGCGGTGATCGAGGCACGTCGCGAGCCGCCTGCGCACGCGGTGCCACAAGGCACTGAATCTAAGGCTCATGTCCAATCCGTGGCCGCGAATGTCAGGCGATGCACGTGCGAGGGCAGGCCCAGCTGCTACGACTTCGTGATGCGAGTCCCCGTCGTGCAGTGGCTCCCCTTCGTTGCTGGGCCCATCAGAGGCCCAACCCGACAATTCGGCGACCTCGGGCTCACCAAAAGACGCGAGCCCCCTCTCACCAGCGTCACTGCCGCTGGCCACCTCGTCACCCCAGGACGCGAGACACTCGCCTCCAGAAGCGCCGCCAGACACATCCATGCAACGCTTCGCTGCATAAAGGAAAAGAACACACAACACTGAACTCGTCATCTGCAGCAGAGCCTAAACAGCGACGGAAAATGCGTTTAACCATTCGGAACGATGGCCCCAAGCTGGCTTACAAGGCTCAAACCCAGAACGTGTCCAGCCTCGCACGGAAAATATATGGACAGGCTTTGCACGCCCCCCTCCCTACCCTCCTCACCTTCTCCCCTCATCCTCCTACCCTCTCCCACGTATATTGCACCACATTGCCTGCACCGTCCACGCGAACTGCTCCGCGTAGCCAGCGGACGTGGTTCGCTGCACGCAGATTACACCACATAGCAAACCCCCTCGGGCTACATTGCGGCTATGTCTTCCTGAGGTGCTGCGCATGGCCTACGAAACGGTTTGTAGTTGGGGGATATGTATGCGGGTATCTTACATGGGCTCCGCAAACGCACCGATACCTTGCGCAGGTATCATACTCGAAAATGTTGTGTTGCATGTATTTGGGTTTGTATCACGGATCGTATCTAACACCTGTCCCGCGACTATTTTTAAGAAATCCAACATGGGGGCCTCCTAGAGGGGCATGCATCTCATACGGACCCCTTCGAAAGGCCCCCGCAAACTCTCTGGGAAACCCCTTGGGACGGAGGCATCGCATCCGGACCGTCGTCAGCCCTGGACCCCTCCGAGACTCCATCCTGGTTAGTTTCGCCGACGCGGATCGGCTTCTGACGGCCATGGGGCCCGAAACGCGCCCCCGAATCCAAGACGCCGAAAATGGCAGCACAACAAGCAAACAAACAGACAAACCAAAATTGTTCAAACCTCGTCCTCTCCTCCTCCCCCCCCCCCGCTCCGCTCCCTCGAGTGCGAGAGCACGACGTCGACGCCCACGTCCGCGACGTCCGTTCGTTCGCGACGCTGCCCGGCCTGACGTCCACGGAAGAAGCCCACGCGCAGGCAGGGCGTGCCAGCCCGGGGCTGACGTCAAGAGCCCCTGGTCCAGCCAAAACTCTTTGAGATCGTGGCACGACGGCCACGTCCACCACGACCCCGACCACGGCGGCGGCGGCGAGACGAGGCCCCTGCCGACGCCAGCGTGGGGCCGCCTTGGAACCAGTCACCTCGTTGGCGGCCACGCCGGCCGCGGCGGCCGCTGCTGCCGCCTTCCAGCCGATGCCTCTCTCGGGGGGGGGGGCAGAAAGGTGCGAGCGAACGAGCGCCCGTCCGGCCCCCCTGGTCTTAGGGCCGCGCCCGTTCGGGCGAGACGAGTCGGGCCATAGCCCCGGCAATGAAAAAGGTGAAAAACCATGTGCGCGTAGTCTTACTTCGAACTCACGTAACGACTCACGTAATGGGTTGCCATACTGTGCCGTGTCTCATTTTGCTTGACAGTGTTGATCCAATGAGTATCATTCGTGTTGATCCAATGGGGCCATAGCCCCGGCAATGCAACCTAACAGCGATGTGTAGGAGCATATCTGGAAGCATTCCCCTTAAGATTCAGATGAGAATCCAGTTGTAGAATTCTGCTGTTCTTGCAGTCGTAGTCGCATTCGCGATGACAGTCGCAGTGGCAACGGCAGTCGCAGTCACAGCCTCAGCCTCAGCCTGCCTCAGCCTCAGCCTCAGGCCCTCAGCCTCAGCCTCAGCCTGCCTCAGCCTCAGCCTGCTTCAGCCTCAGCCTCAGTCTGCCTTCAGCCTCGGCCTCAGCCTCAGCCTGCCTCAGCCTCAGCCTCAGCCTCAGCCTCAGCCTCAGCCTCAGCCTCAGCCTGCCTCAGCCTCAGCCTGCTCAGCCTCAGCCTCAGCCTGCCTCAGCCTCAGCCTGCCTCAGCCTCAGCCTGCATCAGCCTCAGCCTCAGCCTCAGCCTCAGCCTGCCTCAGCATCAGCCTGCCTCAGCCTCAGCCTCAGCCTGCCTCGGCCTCAGCCCCAGTCTGTTTCAGCCTGAGCCTCAGTCTGCCTTCAGCCTCGGCCTCAGCCTCAGCCTGCCTCAGCCTCAGCCTGCATCCGCCTCAGCCTCAGCCTCAGCCTGCCTCACCATCAGCCTGCCTCAGCCTCAGCCTCAGCCTGCCTCGGCCTCAGCCTCAGCCCGCTTCAGCCTCAGCCTCAGCCTGCCTGCAGCCTCGGCCTCAGCCTCACCCTGCCTCAGCCTCAGCCTGCATCAGCCTCAGCCTCAGCCTCAGCCTGCCTCAGCATCAGCCTGCCTCAGCCTCAGCCTCAGCCTGCCTCAGCCTCAGCCTCAGCCTGCTTCAGCCTCTGCCTCAGTCTGCCTTCAGCCTCGGCCTCAGCCTCAGCCTGCCTCAGCCTCAGCCTCCCTCAGCCTCAGCATCAGCCTGCCTCAACATTCGAAATGTGGCAAGGGAGTGGAGTTCTGGGAACTCGAAGAACACGAAGTGGCCTACAGTTGGCTCCGGGCATTCCAAATCATGCCCAGGAATGAAGTTCTGGGAACTCGAAGAAATCACAAAAGCCTACAGTTGGCTCCGGGCATTCAAAATCATGCCCAGGAATGGAATTATGGGAACTCGAAGACCACGACGTGGCCTACAGCTGGCTCCGGGCATTCAAAATCATGCCCATGAATGGAGTTCTGGGAACTCGAAGAAGACGAAAAGGCCGACAGTGGGCTCCGGGCATTCAAAATCATGCCCAGGAATGGAGTTATGGGAACTCGAAGACCACGAAGTGCGTTACTGTTGGCTAAAAAAGGAGTCCCCGGTTGTCCGCGGCACCCGCCCGGATCCCGCCCAGACCCCCTCTGGGGAGTCATGATGCTCTCTTTTGACACTAGTAATCGTCTCTTGCCTCTTCCTCCTGCTCCTCCTATCCTTCCTCATCCAACACTGTTGGGTAACACCTACTCCCCCATTTGTGTTGGGACTGGGGCCCTTCCCGCTCAAGTCGGCCACTAATCCGAGCAGGCCCTTCATGTGGATGCATCTGTCGCGGCTGCCGTAACCAGGAAAGAGCTGGCACGAACCCGCAGCAGCAGCAGCGTTGGCACAGTGGCCATTGAGGGTCAGCACAAGCTCGTCGATGCGGCCCTGATCGATGAACAAATCCAGGAAATCCTTCAAGACCTTGGGGGCCGACGCCTTGCCAGCTGCTGACCTCTTGGTAGCCCAACTGCCGATCAACAGCGTCAGCAAGCCAGGTGTGGTGATCTGGTACTCTGCCCGAATGCAGTCGGGCATGACGTCGTCGTCGCTGCGCGTAGCCTTCCAAGACGAAATATTAACGATGATGCAGTCGATGCGCTGACAATTGATCGCCTCGAAGTACTTGCTGACCCTCTGCTTGCTGTTGTAGGTCCACTTGCCAACTCCAGTATCGAACTTGTCGCCGACCGCTGCGATGATTCGCCTCAACTCCCAACCGAGCCACTGAGGTGCCTGACCAGGCCAACGCTGATCCGCAGATCGAGCATGAGCCGGAGCTTTGAAAATACCATGGCACTCCAAACTCGAATACTGACCTCTCAACTTCACGTAAATGACGGTGTCGTCCGACATTTGCTGCTATGACCCCTGCAGCAAGTACCCCGAAGGCCTGTTCGCAGGCCCTGCCCGTGGCCCCAGGAGGCCGACAGGTCTAAGCCAAAATGGCTACACATCATCACGAATGCGATCGGGTACGTGAGGCCACACTTCGCACTGCGGAATATCCCCAGGACATCAACAGAGACTGCAACACTTAAACGAGTTACGCGATTGTCAGCCAAGTCTTCACATGGAAAAGCAATACCACTGAGCAATGGCCCAGACGGTAACCCCACTGCAACGCGAACGATTCCCGACGGGATCGAGACTTTGATTCTAGGTCACCGCTGGGCAACCTACACTCCCAGAAGACCCCGATAGCGAAGAGGAAATACAACGAGTGATGTCCCAGAAAACGCACAGGAGGATTGACCCCGAGAAACACGAGCAGACGGCAGGGATTGGGTATTATATATTCCCGTGGGACATGCTCAGGGCCGAACACATAGACCGATTGTGCGATTGTAGCCGCACTTCCCCGCCAAGGATTACCACTCGCATTTTGACCAAGCTTCTGCAGAGCAAGTCGCATCAACTGTTTAGTAGCTGACTGCGCACATCCAGAAATGACAGATCCGAACATCCTGTCAGGCGCTACGAACGCAAACAAGTTTGCAAGAAGCTAGCCCAAGACGCACCCCTCGCGTCTCTTCAGCTCCGAAGCTGCACGCGTGCATCTGACAACGAAACCCAGGGAAATTCAAACTCAGAGCGAAGATTACAACCTCCACTGAGAATCGAAAACGTGCGTCAGCATACCGAAAGCTGCAGCCGTGCATCTCGTACTGGATCACTTCGGAGTAGCCCCCGACCCAATGACATCCGAGAGCTGATCCTCGAGGGGCCCTTCGACGACTGAGCGGGCATCATCACGCGGGCACAGCGAGGCGCCATCGGGGCCGCCCTCAAGCTGTGAGCCAGCTGCCGACGAAGGAGGACCAGGTGGCGCCCACTCGCTCTCACCGCGCCGCGTCGGCGTCGAGGCGATCGAAAACGTGGCGGCGGCCGCCTCTGCGAGCTGCATGCCCACGACGTGCGGCTCGCGCATGGTCCTGTTGGCGACGTCGACGATGGCCCCCCTCATCCTCTTGCACGGACTGGCCTCCGGAACATCAGACATTCGACGTTGATGGGCCGCGTCGCCTCCGAACGTCCCCAAAATGATGATGGGCACGTTCTTCACGGAATGCGTCGATACGATATTCGCCGTCTCTTTGCAGTAGTTGAGGTCGATGTCCAAGGCCTGGATGGGGATCAGCGTACCGTCAGAATACTTGAGCCTCACCTCTGGCTTCACCACGTGCTGGACTATGGAGGCTTTGTCCATGACGACCAGATCCTCAGAGACCATCATCATCTCGAAGCAGCCGTCGCCCGCGGCACCCCAGTTATCAGGCACCTGGAGATCGCGTCCACGGCGTCCCTCAGCCTCGCAAGACTGTTTGAGGAACCTTTTGAGTGTCGGGATGTGCCGCAGCGACCCCACCAAGTTCAACTCCCTGCCCTGGCCAGTGACGAACTCGAAATGGTCTGCCAACTTCTTCTGCTTCTCATCGACCTTCCCCTTGCTGGTGATCACCTTCAGGGCCAGCGCGGAGCGGGACACGGGCTCGCAATGGCTCAAGAGCTCGACCATGATGGGGACGGGACAGTTCTCGAACATAGTGTACCGATGCGGCAGCCAATGCGCAGGGTTCGGATCCTCGATGCCAGCTCCCCTCCTGACTCTGCTCCCGCCAAGGCAGCTTTCCGCACTATCTCCACCGTCGGCGCCAGCCTCGATAGGAAGAAGAGCGAGTTCAGTCTCACCGTCAGCAGGAACGTCGTCAGACTTAGCCTTCTTCTTGGCGGTGCCCTTGCCGAGGACAACGGGTAACCCGATGCCCTCCAAGAACTCTTTCACTGGGTCGAGGCGCGACGGGTTCTCCTGAATGGTTTTGAAGATCGCCCTCCTCTTGTCGTTCGCAGCGATCTCCTGCGCTCGAATCCTGAGGTGCTCTGCCTTCTGCTCTGCGTCCATCTCACGGAACGCGGACCTCGCAGACAGCTTCTGGACCGTGCTCTCTGCAGCTCCTGAGGACATGGCAGCGCACGCACGGCGGCTCTTGCGCCAGGGAGCGTCGCCGCAAGCTCGAAACAATTCGAAACAGAAAATGGAGCTCATGATAAAAAGAACAATGCTGCTACCCATGCTGATGTGACCAATGACAGTGATGTCCATGTGAGCTAATACCTACTGTTGCCCACAATGTGGTGGCATTCCCCCTAAAGCGCATATTGAGGTTCCCCCAGACGTAGGCTGCCTTGTTTGACGGCTGAGGGAACACACAGCCTGTGATTCATATATTGTGGCACCCCCTAGATCTGTATCCTAAACCCAATCATAGTACAACTTGATATGAAATGCTCTGAATGTATGTCGGTACGCTAACACACGTAGCTAGTGGTGTGTAATACGTAGTACGAATGTACAAATGTGTCTACTTCTCGCTCTCGCGCCACGCACGCAGTGCATTATCAATATGACTCGGAAAATTCTAGGACATGCTTCGAAAACACGGTCCTATACCACCCATATCCTATACCACCCCCATCCGTTTTTCCGACGCGACACCGCCCACATCCACCGGGGTGCGCGCG